TGCCCATGTGGGCTTATAAATCGCGTAGAGTAAGCCTTACATCTCTACGCTTTATTAGACCTCGGAAGTAGATGGAGATTAATGATCAGATTCACGTTTGCCGCATTTGACTTTACAGAAAGTGCCTTCAGTCCCCCTACTACAGTAAGCTTGTCTCAAAGAATTCTGAGGGATACGGTATTTCTTACGCTACTCGTGTCTGGATTTGGTATGAAGATCAGTTGCATAAGCATGACACATTCTGTTTTTTCAGCTCATTGTAACAAGGGAACAAAGCTTAAGATTACTTTCAAAACCTGGCTGAAATACCAAAGTGATAATAGAAGCTAACCACGAACTGCGTTTGTCAGTTGAATTAGTCATACGAGATTCTATGACATTAGAAGATGGTATAATAAGCCATTGTTATAACGGCCTAACCGCCTTTATTTACGTCAGTAAAGTGAAATTTCAGAAAAAGCAGCGTAGGAAAGGATGCCAAAAAGTTCCACTATAATACTCGTTTCATTTGGCATTCAGATTGTCTGGGAGTGGCAAGCTTGATTTGTTTTTGAATAATCCATTTGTTGCCTTTATTTTAAGATTAAGCTATAATTGTGTCCGATTTTTGGATCAGGGACAATACTGTGGCGTTGACAGACCCTTCAGATAAGGTAGCAGATTTCGATAATCCTTCAAAACGCAAAGGAAGCATATGCGGTAGTTTTGTTAGTGCCATTTTTATTATGATAAGAAGTACAAGAGTCCTATCTATTTATCTATGGCTCTACAATCTTTGTGGACCTTGGCCGCTTTATCAGCTTCTTAATCTATGCACAGTCTGTAGGACTCCTTGGACGGGGGATCAGCCTGTCCCAAGGCCGTTACCTACACACGGAACAACACAACCACAGAATGCCTCGAGTGGGATTCGAACCCACGATTCCAGTGTTAGAGAGGGCGAAGATGATTCATGTCTCAGACCGCGCGGCGGGTACATGGCTACTATACTGTTTTAATTTCCCCAGTTTTGTTGTACCCGCTTTATATGTGAAATAGAGATAAATGTAACATTGTATTTCAGCATTGATGTATCACATTACACACTTTCTTCTTTCGTTAATGGAACTCTGTTTACAATTATTCTTTCACATAAAATGACATTAAACTTAAAATTAAAGTCCTACATGTTTCGGCCATACATGGCCATCCTCAGGCAACTGTTCACGTGTTGAAATTACTACACTGCATTAATCCTTAAGTTAAAATATTCCCGTGTAATTCCATTTTCATCGTCCACTCATTGAAATACTGTCACGTGTATGAGTGACTATAGACGGGGATTGGATTGATAATCGGTGACCGCTTACAGATCGTAACTATCCCCGAAAATGTGGTTGTGCCCCTTGGAAGAAGAGTCCTGGATGCGCCCATATTAATAATATTCTCTGAAGAGTCCAAAATTACAAGAAGGGTAAAGGGCTTCTGTTGGGCCTAACCCTGTCACGTTGGTATCTGCAGTATGTGAGCGACATCATTTTTTACATATTTTTATGTTGCACTGAACATAACTGAGAAATGAGTCTTCTTAGCCAAGGTAGATGGAATGAACTGCTTGTGATAAGGAGCAAATGTTCGTGTTCCGCAGCACCACGCCAGTTAAATCATCAACATCAACATATGCTTAAAAATTAGCCGAAGGGCTAACTTCACACTTTATCTTATAGCAGATAATTTTTGTTGATTAAAATCCAGTACCGCTCTGTGTTGTGTGTAATAATGACATATATCTAAATTGATTATAATTTCCATTATCACGTGTTAAAAGGTGCCGCATTTTAATAATTGGCGTGATGTAGCTGTTCACAAACAGAAATTGCTGTTAAATGGTCTGGAAGATTGGGTTATCAACACTGTTACAGCTTTGTAAAACATTGGTATGAAACATTATTTGTTCTGTCTCTACAACTCTTTGACTACAGTCTGATCATTGCTTCTTATAGCGAAATGTGTCGACACACTGTTCATCGTCAGGCTCTTTCTCACACATTGTTGCTGTAAAGTTATATAATTCAAAAACGTGCATTACAATTCATTAGTTCCATCAGTGGACCTGAGTGCATGTGCATTGGGAAGAAGCTCCCTCTTTTTCATCATTATTTGCCTGTTCTGTCCCTTTCTTCTTTTTCTTATTACCTTTTTCTGGTCCATCTCTTTAATTATCTTTTCCACCCCTTTCTACCTTCCTCCTTACATTTTCTGTCACAATTACTTTGTTTTTTCCCCCTCATCCTTACCTCCCTCCTTCTCTTCTTCCTTGTCCTTCCTCGCCCCCTTCTTTCCCTCCTGCACTCCACCCTCCGTATCTTCTCTTCTTCCTCAGTGCCCAGACCTCCACAGTTGTGTGTCCGGTCTCTGAAAAGGTATGGGTAACACAAGGTTGTTTTTGTGAACAAATCTGAATAATACTTTTGCCTAGAGTTTTTTATTTGATATATCTCTCAACCATAACAATTGTTTCAATTACATTGTTGGCTTGTAAATTTCTTTGCGAGTTCAGATTCCAAGTACAGAATGTCCAAAAAGTTCCTCCTGGGCCTTAGAACGTTGTATTTTCTTAACCATAATGATAGCCCAGTCAGTATAGCTACAGGCTGGACGGCTGTGGTTCGATTCCTGGTAGGGGTAAGAGATTTTTCTTTACTCCACAGCACCCAGACCAGCTCTGGGGCCCACCCAGCCTCCTATCTAGTAGGTTCCTGGAGCTCTTTCCTTGGGGGCATAGCGGCCGGGGCGTGAAGATGACCACTCACCTCCATCCAGTACTGAACTCAAGGACGGTGGAGTTGTACTTCCACTCCCCCATTCATCTTCATGTTGTGGCGAGAAATCGGATCAGTATTGAACTTAGTTTTTATGCTTGGTTTATACTTCGAGGACGAGAATTTAAGGTTTGTCAGTTTTGTCCAGTTAAAAGAAACTTTTTAAAAATGGGAAATTGTTTCGGCAACTGTAATGAAAACAAAGAACCAGTTAATAGACCTTGACGATGTAGTGTAGGATCGTGGATTACACTTGGCAACCTGCAGATTTTTTTTAGTTGGCTGTTTAACGAGTCTATCATTATCGGAACCATATACACTATAACTTGGCTATAACGTCATCAAAGGGACCTAAAAATAGTGTCGTTATAAACGAATGTCGTTGTAACCGAAATGGGCACTTCCACAGTAGCCTTATGTTAGTCACGTAAAAATCTACCAAAAACCGAGTTAAAATGTTGCATTTTTTAGTGAAATACGTAGTTAAGTACAGACTAACGTAACATTAACGTGGAATTGCCCAAATGTGTAATATCAAAGACATATTACAGCACTTTTCACTGACAATACACACAATATTTCACGAATCACTTTAACTTTCTCTTCAATGCTTAAAACTTTCCTTTTCATTGCCATGTTTTCGCTACTGCACTTCTCTGAGTTTAGGCAGGAACACTATAGGGTAAGTAGACAATGTGAGGTCCTGTTAGACGAGATTCTAGGAAAGGAATGCAGTTAACAACCTGCCGCGTCCTCTTGCACTATTCACGAAGTCCCACCCCACACCCTTGTTTTCGCATAAAACCCACGCTCCTCTTGCAGCCCGCGGTCGTATTCTTCCAGGACAGTCACGTCAGCAAGTAGAGAAAGTGAGGGTGGGCAGACACATCGAACTTTCCCACGATATCAGAGAAATTCAGGAATGAAAATGACGTTACATACGAGGTTGATGCATTTGTGCATGTCGTACTAAGCAAGGTATAAAAACAGTGCTTTATGAGGAATTAGTTCGTACCATTGAATATTTGACGCAATAGACAAGGTGTCGCAGAAACCGATGTTACTATAACCAAGTTTTACTGTATTGTCAGATGATGTAATAATTGATGAATTGGAAGGAAGTGGCCATGGCCTAATCGAGGTACTATAGCGACATTTGTCTGGAGGGACTGAAAAAAGAAAGTACTAAAAGTTTCAGTCAGAATAGCTGGTTCTTTCGCCCACCAGACTTCAGAACTACATTCAGTACATAGTTTGGAATTTTGATTAATTTGTACTTCTACATTGCTAAATGGAATTTCACATAAGACAGATACAAGAGATAACTAAGAGTTCCTCCAAAACTCTTGTGGCGTTCTAAAAGATTGCATGTTGGTCCACCCAGAAGACCACAATCTGAATACTTACTGCCATGCAAACCCCAATCCTATGCAGTTTGCTCAGTTGTGAATCTTACTGGTCGGCATACCTGCTATTTATCACTGCTGTCAAGAGCCCTCTTAGTGCATGTCACAGAGTTCTTCTGCAGGCATGCACTCTCTCTCATGCAGACACACATGCGTGCACATATGTACATGTGCTGAGCTAACTGCATAAACCAAAGGCCTCCTTGAGAAGCTGAAAGTCGCTCAGATGGTCAGGAAATTCACCTCCCTGTGTGGAACCCAATATTTCATTACCATGTTCACAAGAGCCAACCACTGGTCCCTGTCCTGGGCCAGATCTCTCTCTCTCCCCCTCCCCCTCCCACGCACCCCCCCCATACACACACACATGCCCCACTGCTCCCATTCTCCCTTATTTCATCCCCCCATTGGTGAACGGGAAATATTATGAG